ACACACAAAAACAGAAAACTAAATCAAACACCTGGAAATTAAACAGTGCACTATTGAACAACGAGTGGATTAGACAGGAAATCAAAGAGGAAATCAACAGATTCCTAGAAACGAATGAAAATGAGAACACGAGTTACCAAAACTTATGGGACACAGCAAAGGCTGTGTTAAGAGGAAAGTTTATACCTCTACAAGCATTCCTCAGGAAGGAGGAGCGAGCACACATAAGTAACCTAACCTCACAGCTTAAGAGCTTGGAGAAGGACCAAAAAAAGGAGCACAACCAGAACAGGAGAAAGGAAATAATAAAACTCAGAGCAGACATTAACGAGATGGAAACCCAAAAAACAATCCGAAAGATCAATGAAACCAAAAGCTGGTTCTTCGAGAAAATTAACAAGATCGATAAGCCTCTAGCAAAACTCACAAAGAAAGGGAGAGAGAAAACCCTAATAAACCGAATCAGAAATGAAAAGGGGGTCATTACAACAGAAACCACAGAAATTCAGAGGATCCTCAGGGAGTACTTTGAGAAGCTTTATGCCACGGAACATCAAAACCTCGAGGAAATGGATAAATTCCTAGACTCCTACAGACTCCCAAGGCTGAACCAAGAAGACCTGGAATACCTGAACAGACCTATCACCATCAAGGAAATTGAAATGGTAATAAAAAGTCTCCCCAAGCACAAAAGTCCTGGCCTGGATGGATTCACTAGTGAATTCTTCCAAATCTTTAAGGAGGACTTACTCCCGATGCTCTTTAAGCTTTTCCACGAAATTGAAATATCAAAAACACTTCCGAACAGTTTCTACGAAACAAATATCACACTGATACCAAAAGCAGACAGAGATACCACAAAGAAAGAGAATTACAGGCCGATATCCCTGATGAACACAGATGCAAAGATCCTCAACAAACTACTAGCAAATAGAATCCAACTACTCATCAAAAAGATCATACACCATGACCAAGTAGGATTCATCCCAGGGATGCAAGGATGGTTTAACATTCGGAAATCAATCAACATAATCCACCATATCAACAAAAGAAAAGATAAAAAGCATATGATCATATCAATAGATGCAGAGAAAGCATTTGATAAGATCCAGCACCCCTTTATGATGAAAACCCTAGCCAAAATGGGTATAGAGGGGACCTTCCTCAACATAATTAAAGCCATCTACCACAAGCCTACAGCAAGCATCATCCTCAATGGGGAAAAACTGAGAGCCTTCCCTCTAAGATTAGGGACGAGACAGGGATGCCCACTCTCTCCACTGCTGTTCAATATAGTACTGGAAGTACTTGCAATAGCGATTAGGCAGGAAAAAGATATTAAGGGCATTCAGGTAGGAAAGGAAGAAATCAAGCTCTCACTATTCGCAGATGATATGATACTCTACTTAGAGAACCCAATAACTTCTACCAAAAAACTCCTAGAAACAATAGACTCGTATAGTAAAGTTGCAGGTTATAAAATCAATACCCAAAAGTCCATGGCTTTCCTATATGCAAACAGTGAGAGAGAAGAAAGCAACATGAAAAAAACAATCCCGTTCACAATTGTGCCCCAGGAAATCAAGTACCTAGGAATCAGCTTAACTAAGGAAGTAACAAAGAAAACTACAAAACGCTACTTCAGGAAATAAAAGAGGACATGAGGAAATGGAAAGATATCCCCTGCTCATGGGTCGGGAGACTTAACATTGTCAAAATGGCAATACTACCGAAAGCATTGTATAAATTCAATGCAATCCCTATAAGGATACCCATGACATTCTTCAAAGAAATGGAGCAAACACTCTTGAAATTTATATGGAACAATAAGCCCCCACGAATAGCTAAAGCAATTCTTGGGAAAAAGAAAATGGGTGGAATCAACCTCCCGAACTTCAAACTGTACTACAAAGCAGTAATAATTAAAACATCATGGTACTGGAACAAAGGCAGAACTGCAGACCAATGGAACAGGGTTGAATACACTGACATCTCTCCTCAATCATATGCTCATCTAATCTTTGATAAAGTTGCAAGTAATGTGAAGTGGAGTAAGGAAAGCCTCTTTAATAAATTGTGTTGGCATCACTGGACGGCTACATGCAAAAAAATAGGCTCAGAACTCTGCCTAACACCATGTACAAAAGTAAGATCAAAATGGATTAAAGACCTCAACATCAGACTAGAAACCATAAGGTACATTGAAGATAAAGTTGGCAAAACCCTCCATGACATTGAAGCTAATGGTACCTTCAAAGATGCCACGCCACTGGCCAAGCAAGTGAAAACAGAGATAGATAAATGGGACTATCTTAAACTAAGAAGCTTCTGCACCTCCAAAGAAACAGTGACCAAAATACAAAGACAGTCTACAGAATGGGAATGGATATTCACCGAATACACATCTGACAAGGGGTTGATATCCAGGATATACAAAATACTGGTTAAACTCCACAAGAAGAAAACATCCAACCCCATCCAAAAATGGGGCAATGAAATGAACAGAAACTTTCTCAAAGAAGAAATCCAAATGGCAAAAAAGCACATGAGAAAATGCTCTACATCATTAATCATCAGGGAGATGCAGATCAAAACCACAATGAGATACCATCTTACACCTCAGAGACTGGCCCACATTCAAAAGAACAAAAGCAACCGATGCTGGCGTGGATGTGGCGAGAAAGGGACACTCCTTCACTGTTGGTGGGAATGTCCACTGGTTCAGCCCTTCTGGAAAACAGTATGGATGATTCTCAAAAAATTAGAAATTGAGCTCCCATTTGACCCAGCAATACCACTCCTGGGAATATATCCCAGAGAGGCAAAAATGTATAGTCGAAGTGACATCTGCACTTGTTTGTTCATTGCAGCACTCTTTACAATAGCCAGAAACTGGAAGAAACCTGAATGCCCAAGAACAGATGACTGGTTAAAGAAACTTTGGTACATCTACACAATGGAGTACTATGTAGCTCTTAGAAAAGATGAAGTCATGAAATTTACATACAAGTGGTACAATATGGAAAGTATCATGCTAAGCGAAATGAGTCAGAAAGAGAGGGATAGACATAGAAAGATTGCATTCATCTGGGGGATATAAAGTAACAAAGTATGAGATTAATACCCAAGAATAGCTGAGATCAGCACCAGGAGGATTACTCCATAACTTAGAGGCCAGCCGGGTATCCTAGAGGAAAGGGCAGTTCAGATAGAGAAGGGAGCACCAAATAAAGGGTGTTTGGAGGATCCTCCCAGGAGGGGAGATGCATGTCGAAAGTAGACTATGGACTGAACATTTTTGCCACTCAATGCCTCTTTTGCAGACCACAACACCCAAAAGAAGAGAGAGAACACAGGGGATTGCCCTGCCACAGAGACAGGGGGGATGGGGGGATGGGGGTGGGAGGGATATTATCCATGGTGGTGGAAAATGGGCACTGGTGGAGGGATGGGTATCTGATCATTGTATAATTGAAACCAAAGCACAAAAAATTGTAAATCTACAACATTAAAAAAATAAAATAAAATAAAGGGGGGAAAAAAAAACTTTCTAGCTGGAACATCTATTAATAAAAGCATGTGCACATTTAAAATTTTTATATGTTTTACCCAATAGCTCTCTGAAAAATATTTTACATTAACACAAAATATTTTTTTTAATTTATTTTTTTTTATTTTTAGTGAAACACCATGAGGTACAGTTGTAGATTTACAATTTTTTGTGCTTGGGTTTCGATTATACAATGATCAAATACCCATCCCTCCAGCAGTGCCCATTTTCCACCACCATGGATAATATCCCTCCCACCCCCATCCCTCCCATCTCACCCAGCCTCTGTGGCAGGGCAATCCCTGTGTTCTTTCTCTCCTTTTGAGTTAACACAAAATATTTTAATCCATCCAAGTCACCAACTTATATCAAACTCCAATGTACCATGGCATTATTTCTATTTTGTAGAATTAAGATAGCAACGATGAACATTTTTTTCACATAAAATTTTTACTGTTCGGTAAGGATTACATTTGACCCTTTATATTTTTCAATCAATAGTATAACTCTTCTATGTGTTTTGCTTAATTGAAAGAAAGTCACTGTCACTGTCCTCCCACTGTTCATCGATTTGCTTGAGTGGGCACTAGTAACATCTCACAACAACTTGTGAGACTTGTTACTTTTTTTTTTTTGTAATATTGAATATGTCACAGGTAGCTTGCCTGGCTTTGCCTTGTGGGAGAGATACTCTCAGTAGCTTGCTGGGCTCTCCAAAAGGGATGAGGAATCGAACCTGGGTTGGCTGCGTGCAAGGCAGACGCCCAATCCGCTGTGCTATCGCTCCAGCCCTGAAAGAAAGTAATGTTTAAAATAACTGATTTGATGAATTCTTTACTCGAGTCATGCTAAATCTGCCTCAGTCCAAGTTTGCATTAGATATTAGTCAATATATTACCCAGAAGGTTTATTTCAAGTGTTATCTTTATCTAAATCATGTTATTTTTTCCTCAGAACACCCACCTACCCACTATACTATTTCTCGAGATTAAAAGATACGGAGTCTTCCCAGCTTTATCTAAAAACTATCCTTATCTTCAGTTTGTTCTTGCCTGCTCCAGTGGATTTGTTTTTAGTTCTAAGTACATGTCTAGTATTATGATATCATTTTCACTTTCTTTTTATTATTACCTTGCTAAATAATATTTTAATTGTAATATTTAAAAATTCTGTACACACAAAGATTTTGAAGTACCTCTAGGAGATAGGTTTATATCAATTTGAAGAACTCAGAGTTAAATCTGAAACATTCTGGTGAGATTGGCATGAATGCTATCATGTTAAAGGCTTCTAGAGGCAAGCTAGCATAGTTTACACGCCAGCCGACCTATTTATAGAGCTGACTCCTTTCTGCAATGTCAACTGTAACATTATACTTATTTTAAGCTTCAGCATCTCAAATATCAGCGTCTACTAGTTGTACAGTTCTCTCTTATTTGATATCAGAAAACCCAATGGAGCCTTCTAAAGAACCTAGTAGGATTAGCAAAGATAACTTTTTAGAAGTTCCCAGTTTATCTTTTTCTTGTTCTGAAGATGACGAAGTTGAAGCTACTTTCAAACCTGGTTTCTCCCCTCAGCCTGCTAGGCGAGGTTCTGATCCTTTTGAAAATATGTACTTGGACACACCATCTTCAGGTACGAGAAGAGTCTCATTTGCTGACACCTTTGGACTCAATCTTGTGTCTGTCAAAGAATTTGATTCCTGGGAATTTTCAAGTTCTGGAACCAATTTTGACATTAAAAAGGACATTTTCCATACAGAAGAATATGTTTTATTTCCACAGTTTGATTTGCCTCCTTCAAAAGAAGATCTTATGCAACAGCTACAAGAGCAGAAAGCAATTTTGGAGTCAACAGAGTGTTTTCCTGGGTCTACATGCATGAAAGGCATTATTAGAGTGCTGAATATTTCTTTTGAGAAGTTAGTATATGTGAGAATGTCCTTAGATGACTGGCAGACACATTATGACATTTTAGCAGAATATGTTCCGAATTCATGTGATGGGGAAACTGACCAATTCTCCTTTAAGATTGCATTAGTTCCTCCTTATCAAAAAGAAGGCAATAAAATTGAGTTTTGTATACGCTATGAAACTTCTATTGGTACGTTTTGGTCAAATAATAAAGGCAAAAATTATACAGTGGTTTGTCAAAAGAAGGAACAAGAGCTGGAGCCCATGAAGCCACAGGAAGAAGTTCCTAATAGACAAATAAAAGGCTGCTTAAAGGTAAAACCAAGGTGAGGATATATCTTAATATTTTTACTCTTCATGATCATAAAGTTTAAAAAATATTATCTCATATTTGTAAGAAATAGCCATTCTGTTTAAGACATAATTTCTGTTGTGTGTGAAACAATGGTGGTAGGTCAACACTATTTAAATAACAACACTATTTTTTTCTTCTTCGATGAAAGGGAAAACATAGATATAATGTAACAGACTTTGAACACTGTGTTTATTATGTACCTAATGAGTTATGAATGGCTTAAGCTCAAACCATGGAATATAGTTTATGAACATGTAAAACTATTTTGTCATTTAAAGTAAATTTATTTCCAGAGGTTTTGAAATGTCTTTCCTATACTTAAAAAGCATTTCTCCCCAGCTGTTTAATATCAGCTGGTAAGAAATATAAAATTTTTATATTTTTAATATAGAACTGTATAGAACTGTTTACATACCTACCTAGTGTTTATAAATTTGCATACACCTCCTAGAAGTTGTAACAAACTTCTTAATGATTAATCAAGTCACATAGACAAACTTAGAGTTATACATGTAAAGTTAAATCACAAGAGCTATGATTTAATGATAAATGTAGAGAAATACATAAATATATAAGTAATGTATACATTACACATAAAATTTTATAATTATAATCAAGTGTAACATTATGGAAGATAAAGTAGTATAATTTAATAAAAGTAAATGGAGCAGAATAAAAATGACCCAAATAGAAATAAGAATACTCAGCTTTAGAGATTTGGGATATGAGCTCTCATTAGTAACCTTGTTCTCTTACTAATATAAAAATATAAATAGAAGTGGCATTCAGTTCTCTCTACTGCAAAGTTAACTGATTTTTGTGACACTAGGTTAGTAGATAAAATACCCAGAAAGCATATAATCTCCCCCTACTCTTCAGTGTGTGTGTGTGTGTGTGTGTGTGTGTGTGTTTGTGTGTGTGTTCATGTGTGTGTGTGTGTGTGTGTGTTTCATAACTGATATACTAGATACAGCCAAGTGTTTGATTCTTTGAGAGGTCCATACTATCACTAAATCCCAAGATTGTAGAAATTGTTCTGGAAACAGTATAATATGATGAAAATAAAAAAGTGCACAAGGAATCAAAACACCCAGATTCTTATTGGAATTTAACAAAATTCAAGAAATCATTTTTTTAGCCTCTTTATGCTTACAGTTTCTTTTCTTTTCTTTTTGGGCCATACCTGGTGATGCTCCTGGGTTACTCCTGGCTCTGCACTCAGGAATTACTCCTGGTGGTGCTTGGGGGAACAGCATAGGATGCCAAAAATTGAACCCAGGTCGGCAGCATGCAAGAAAATCACCCAACCCACTGCACTATTTCTGCAGTCCATTATCATTTGTTATATGTTAATAAGTTATCCTATTAAATGTGTATTCTAATGTTTAATGAACTAGCACTGGCAGAAGAAATTTAATCAAATAAAAATTCCTATTTGCATAATCTTATAAAGTCATTAGAAATATTGACTATTTCGTTAGTAAATTATGTTACTTTTCTTAATCCAAAGTAAGTCTTTACAGAATTTAATTGATGCAATTGATATACATGCAAAAACAATTATTTTTGTTTATAAATATACTCAGCAACATATTAGCTTAGACAAAATAAGTTCAACACTTTTTACAAACATACATGAGCATAAAAAACATCAAATATTTTACAAATAAATAGTTGTCAGTATCTGTCAAAAATGCTGCATAAACAAACTTTACAAAAAGTTTAAAAGTCAAATTTTGGCTCAGTTGCTTTCCTGAAAGATCAAGCTGAAGCTTTAACTCTATTAGCAGTATATATCAAATAATGGTATAGATTGGTATATCTTTCATAGGGCAAATTCGACCCGATATCAAGAAAAAGAGAAACAAATAAAGCCAGTATTCTACCCTGTTCTTCATATTTTTGGAATTTTTCCTTTAGCTATGTGTAACTATATACACATATACATTTGTATACAGAAAAGTAATCACTTGGATTCATAGTGGTCACCTTTCAAGTTTTAATACCTGATTTGGGGAAAAACCTGAGAAGAACTAAACCACAAGCCAGTCCAAATGCTGTAAAGTTTCCTAATGACTTATAAAAATGGAAAAAAACCCTCCCTTTTTCAAAACCACAAATACATTTTCTACACTTCTATAACTTAAAATGACCAACATAATTCATACCACATTTTGAAAAAACATTTTCCTCTGGAGGAGGCCTTTTGTGCTACATTTCAGTCCAACATGAATTTCTACATCTGATTTATATACCACTCAAAATGGAGTGCATAAAGGAAATCCTGACATATCTGTAGAACAGCGTATGCCATAATATAATATTTATACAGCTTTTCCATGATATAATTTATATGCAATGGGGTTTCAAATATTTCTAAAACTCACACAAGAGAGCATTATCAAATTTCTAAATGAACATTGCAGTTGGATTTCACTGCAGAGTATTTGGTTAGGGGATATAGAATACTTTAGTAGTATTATTTTACAAAACATGGACTTGGCTTCATACAAATGAAATAACACTTATTTGATCAAAAATTATAACTTTTAAAATATTCTCTTTCTGCAGAGTTACAGAATTTATTTTTTTTGTTTTTATTTTGGCTAGTCTTTAACTTTTTTGTCCTTTGAAACTTAGAAGTAATTTCTTTTAGAAGATAATATAAAAGATAAATTTATGTGGATTTTTACTTCTTACATGCAGTGAGATTGGTATTACTCTATAATGAAAGTCAGAATTAAAATGAAGCGAAGACTTTTCTAATGCAGAGAGGAACACTTAACTTGAATTATTTTTAATACCAAAATTAATTTTATATCAGAACCTAGAGATTGTTTTTCAGAATGTATCAATCAACTTTCCACCAAATACAGATGAACTGTGGGAATAGATTTAATGGGGTAAGATATATGATATGTCAATCATTCTAGGCACTATGGTTAGATTTTGAAAATCTCTACATCAGTGTGATTGTGTATTTTCCTTGATACTTCTTAAATCTATCCACTGTGTCCAGAAATAGATATCTAGGTGAAAAGGAAACAGAGTTCCTTTAGTAGGAACATGTGACTTAGAGTGACCCAAAGCTATTCAGTTGCACTGAGAGGCATGCATCATGAGATACTTCCTAAGTGACACCTATATGTGGCACTGGGATATGTGCTATCAAACAAATTAAGCAGATTGCTGATCTGCAGCCAGTGGGCTTTATTTCAGAATAAATGAACTTAAGTGACCAAAATATATAAATACACTGATATAAAAATTACATTAAATATACACAGATAATTAAGTTGAAATTTCATGCTGAATGAAAGAACCCTAAAGTTAAGAATATGGATATTAAAGTTAAACATAATCTTCACCACATTTTAACTAGGTTTTTTAATCTGTTGCTTGGGAATCATAGCACCCTTTCATCCAGGGTTGTCTGAGATTTCCAGTATATAATACAATTTACTGGTAGATAATACTTTTTGATAGGGCTATTTCGCTATATAATGAAGTTATCAATAAATACTAACTCTATAAGTTGACAAACTAACTCAAGCTTTAAATGGTTTTGTAAAATCCTAGCAAGAGTCAACATGCCCCAAAGTCTCCACTCTCTGACTCAAAATACTGCTTTAAAGAGTCAGTTTTGTCTTTTGAAGGATTTTAATAAACAAGCAAAAATACTTTAATCATAATATTTTGAGAAAGGCTACCTTATATCCAGAATATCTAACAGCTGGAAAATGTCTAAGAACTACTGATAATTCCATATTTAATGGATAAAAAAAAGAAAGACCAGCCTAGAAAGTGTTTTTTTCAAATATAAATTTTATTTTTTTGATTCAAAACACATTTTTAAATTCGTTTATTATACAACATGATCATTCAAATATTTAACCTCTCTCTTAATCATAATTTTATAATCTCTTATTTCTTTTTAATAGTGAGACATCATGAGGTACAGTTGCAGACTTACACATTTTTGTGCTTGGGTTTCAATTATACAATGATCAAATACCCATCCCTCCACCAGTGCCCATTTCCCACCACCTGGGATCCCGGTATCCCTCCCACCCCCCACCCCCCATCCCACCCTGTCTCTGTGGCAGGGCATTCCCCTCTGTTCTCTCTCTCCTTTTGGGTGTTGTGGTTTGCAAAAGAGACATTGAGTGGCAATCGTGTTTCGTTTATTGTCTACTTTCAGCATGCTTCTCTCATCCTGGTAGGATCCTCCCAACACCTTTATTTGTTGTTCTCCTCTTTATCTGAGCTCCCTTTTCCCCTAGTATGTGTGGTTGGCCTCCAGGTCATGGAGTAAAATTCCTGGTACTAATATCGGCCATTCTTGGGTGTTAGTTTCCTATTTTGTTACTTTATGTTCCCCAGATGAATGCAATCTTTCTATGTCTATCCCTTTCTTTCTGAGTCATTTTGCTTAACATGATACTTTCCATGTAGTACCACTTGTATGTAAATTTCATGACTTCGTATCTTAAACTAAGAAGCTTCTGCACCTCAAAAGAAACAGTGACCAAAATACAAAGACAGTCTACAGAATGGGAAAGGATATTCGCCAACTACACATCTGATAAGGGGTTAATTTCAAGGATATACAAAGTACTGGTTCAACTCCACAAAAAGAAAACATTCAACCCCATCAAAAAATGGGGAGATGAAATGAATAGAAACTTTGACAAAGAAGAAATCCGAATGGCTAAACGACACATGAGAAAATGTTCCACATCATTAATCATCAGGGAGATGCAGATCAAAACCACAATGAGATATCACTTCACACCACAGAGACTGGCCCATATCCACAAGAACAAAAGCAACCAGTGCTGGCGTGGATGTGGTGAGAAAGGGACGCTCCTTCACTGTTGGTGGGAATGCCGACTGGTTCAGACCTTTTGGAAAACAGTATGGATGATTCTCAAAAAATTAGAAATTGAGCTCCCATTTGACCCAGCAATG